TAGCAGGCTGCATGGAATTTCCCTGCCGGCCCTGCAAAGCGACAACAACTCTACTGAATCAAAGTGGCAGCCCCTTGGTGCTGCCCGCAGTTCACATGGCAGGACAAACTCCACGCACGCATAGTTCCGGATTCCTCGCTGTTTGAGTGCACACCAACAGAACAAGTGAAAAAAATACGTGCGCGCAAGACGGCGGTTAAATACGCGAATGTTTCAGCCTGTTTTGTTCGATAGCGTTGGCGAGCGACCCACACAATCCAGTCAAAGTGACACGCCGGACAGAATGGCGTCAGTTGATAAACAAATAATTGCGCCAATGCAAAAAGCAGCAGAAATTTTGTTTTTACTCCCGAATTCGGGGGGCGACGGTGGCATAAGAGTGTGTATGTGCGCAAAGACTTTCGCGGGACGGTGCTGTCCAATCTCGCCGTGCCCTGACACAAAAGGGCAGCAGAAAAAAAAAATAGGAGCACACTCTCCAGAAAAGGAGTGACGGTTGGGCAGTCAACCCCCGTTCCTTCTCACGTGACATCCACATATGTGCACCCCACCTCAAATGCGTAACTCCCTGAACGCCGCATGCATGAAGTGTGGTTTCGTCACCCGCAATGTGTTTTTCCTCCCGCAAACAACAAGAGGATGGCAATGGCACAGATCCACTCAGGGGAGGCAATCGGGGCAGACACGAGTGGGGCCAGAGATCATACAAAATAATAATAACAATAATAAAAAGGGGGCAATAACTCCTCCAAGCCACAGAATCGTGCAGTGTCCATCCCTCTTCCTCTGAATTGAAGACTTCCTCAACAGAACAAATGCAGCAGGCACATGTGCAGCACAATATCTTTCGCTATCCCACGTCCCATCTTAATTCCCATGACTGCCACGGCGGTGGTGCCTGCGTTACATCCGGGATGACTCCAAAATATCAAACGCCATGCTGTGGAGAGTGGATGCCTGACAAATGTGCCCGCGTCAGCGTATAACACAAAATGGCACCAAAAATAAAAAACTATTCGCGACTCAAACTACCCGTGTGTGACCGCAATAAAGCAACACTGAGACACGTGTGGAGCAACGCAAAAAAGAAAAAAAAGAGAAAAAAAATAATAATGGAATAATCACAAAAACATATCAATATATAAATGCACAAAAAATACATCAACCCGCATAAATTTTCCGTTCATTTTTCTTTTTTCTCATTTTATACAACAACAATAACTAACGAGAAAAACAAGCATGCCCTCCCACACAGTCCTCGTGGAACAGGAGACAGTCGTTGCGGGCACAACAACACAAAAAATAGAAACAGTGCACAGAAAAAACAGCGGCAATGCCGTTGCAGAGTCCAATGGGTGGCTGTGTTGCGCTGCAACCGCGGCCCCACGCCCTCCCTCAGCGACCAGCAACGCACAACTGTCACTTCCGCGTGGTACACGTCACAAAAGGGCCTTGTTGTTTTTTATCCCTATTGTTTTCTCAATTGAATCCTATGTCCCGCACAACAGCTTCTATCGGAGAACACATCAGCCCCGCTGAGTGGAGGCGTGAAGAAAGGCCCCGACACCCGGAGAGGGAGCTGCAGCGGAGGGCGTGCAACACACACACGTTACGCATCCTCCCCGCGCTGGCGCGTTGGCTAAATAATTCACTGTTGCCGGGAATCGGTAAAACAACACGTCAATAAATCAACAAAAAAACTGATCTATAAATAACAAAAAATGGAGTGCGCCTTCCAGCAGCAT